TTCCCTCTGTTGTTTCTGTCTGTCTATCTTCATTTTTCCCAGCACTAAATGACCATTGTAGTGTCGATGGGCTTCTCAAACAAACAAACAAACAAACAAACCAACAAATTTCTGTTTGTCAGTGGTTGACGGGTACTCCGGTGTGAATTGCTTCTTCTTTCCTATCAAACATCTATCGTCCTTATCTCCCCTTCTTCTTTTTTTATGTTTGTTACTCTCTTGTAACACCTCTAATTTTCTGGCGCTCATATGACCTTATGCTGTTGCGAGCGCCGTAAAACCTCTACTAAAACTAAACTTTTAAAAAATTATGTCTGTTTATCTTGCGTTTCCAAAACACTATGACCGTTATCGTGTCGATGTGCTTCTCTTTACCCAAACTTAACCGAACCTTCAGCCTGTGCCTACGCCAGTGTGTGCCCAGCAAGGAGGCTATACAGTTGTTGTAAGGTCAGTCTGTGCCCAGTACTGTCCAGTCCTTGTTCATGACTCACCTTCCCCCGGGGGAAATACCCGATCATGGTCAATGTCCACTTCATTAGGAACCGCCAAACCCCCACCATCTTTCCGGATACTTATGAATTTCCTTTAACTTCTGCGTATGGGCCCTTTTCTAGTTTCATGGCTTGTTGGAATTTATAAAGTAAAGGTGACCAGCGTATGTGGTCTAGCGGTCTGGCGCTTCGCCGTTGCGCACAGGAAGCCGGAGTTCGATTCTCGAGTGGCGCGAAATTTTCTCTAGTGTCTTTCGGCTGGGATGTTGTATCCTTCTCAGCTCAGGTTGGCCCTGACAGGCATGATTATAGCCTGCCTCCTAAATGGTCTAAATTGTGTCGATGGGGGTGTATTTATTTTCTTAATTTGAGAAAAAGTGGTTGGTTTTATTGTTTGCATCTATTATATCAGAGACATGTCGTCATTATCACCCCAAATTTTTATCGCGAACCTCGGTCTTTCTGCCTTTGCACTAAATAATCCAAACATCAACCGGACTCAAAACTCAAAGAAACGGTTAATTGGAGGGCACTACTAGAGGTCTTTCTTCTTTTCTTATCCATTAGTCTGTGTGTCTGTCTGTGTGTCTGTCTGTGTGTCTGTCTGTCTGTCTGTCTTTTCCCTTCGGCCCAACAACTGCTATCGTGCCAATAGACACTGTACTTCTCAGCACTCTCATAAATTTGCCCTCTGTCTCGCATTCTCTCTGCCCCCC